CCAAGTTTTTAAGCTCAATTCCTCAGGCAGGCCTGTGTGGAGGATTGTTGCTATCCACATACACACAAAAAGTATTGCTTTGATTTCGTTTTGTTGTAAGTACTAAACAGGTCAGAGCTGTTTTACTTTTGACTAAAGCCTATGGTGCGTTCAGAACAGAACAGGAGAATGTTAGTTTTCACACATAAATTCTAGTTCTGCTTCTGCCAACCTAGACTGTGTAACCTAGGGTCTCTCCATCCTCCATCCATCCATCCAATATTTATTGAACTTAACCTTCATTCTGGGCTGGATTTCCCATCTGTAAAATGAGAGGAATAGTCTGGATTAGTAGTTTTGACCTTGCTTCTTAAAATTATTGGTCTTTGAGGGACTTCCAAAGGAGGAGAGAGGGGCGATGGGACAGGGTGTAGGACCCCAGCTAGCTTCACCCCTGAAGTCATATGTCCGGGTGTTGTATATATTGGGTTTCCATTTTAGATCTCTTTTGAAGGAAGGGCTCCCTGATTACTGGCTGCCCAGAAGGTGCCTATGGACCTTCCAGTAGTGACACTGTAGCTTTAAGCCGAACTGTTTTTAAATCCATGCCTCTACAGTGTCCGGTAGAAATAAAATGTGAATAAACTGAGGTCACTGTCCCTGAGGGGCTAGATGTCACTGTGAGGATAAACAGATTATAAATGTGAAAGCCTGCTTGGGCAAACGTCTGTTGTGAGGATAATAATAATTATGATTATTATAGAGGAGATGGGTGGTCAAGATATACCCACAGGAAAATGCAGACGAGAATTCCGTCTGCAATTTGGGAACAGGTAGGAACCGCAGCCTCCCAGGTTCTCCATGCAGGGATTCTGAGAGTTTCCAGGGCTTTCCTGGGAAGGCTTTGCTCACAGGCACCTTCCCCTGGGGCTGCTGAGCCCCGACCTCCCCTGCACGCATCACTGGCTGCTATGGGTGTGGGGGTGGGGGGTATGCGGAGGGTGGGGGGAGCGAGCGAGCGGGTGGCGTGGTGCCTTGCGGTGATTGGAGGAGCTGGAGGCTGTTGCTAGGTTACCAGTCCGCTGAGACCTAGACCTGGGGCCCTGCAGCCCCATCCTCCACGGCAGATCCATCCCGCCCAGCAGACCTAATTCGGGCCCTGGGAACAGGATACCCAGCAGCTTAAATTGCCAGACTCCAAATGCCAGACTTTCTAGGATTTTTCACTTTGCAGGAGGCCAGGCCGTGTGGAGGCGGGGAAGAGAAGCCCTCAGCTTTTACCTTCTAACTCATCTCGAATAGTTAACTTCTCTTTCCAGACCTCAGGGTCCTTGATTGCTGACATTTATTTATTCCCTATTCGTGCATACATCTGTGTTTATTAAGTGCCTATCTATGTCCCAGGAATGCTGGGGATAAGAAGGTGACGAGACAGAGCCCATTCTTGCCCTTGTAAAGAAGAGAAGCATTGCACATTTAAAGAAGATAAACACATACCAGATTATTCCTATCCCCTTTCTTCCCTCTCATTGATTTTTCTAGCCCCCACTTCCCATACCAAGCCTGTACACTCCCCCAGGTTGACAGAACAGGAGGTGCAGCCCACCGGCTGTGCTGCTCTGACACAGCACCCGCTCCCTCCATGCCCCTCGGACTAGACGGTCCAGCTGGGCCATGGCCATTTGAGGAATCACTGGCCTAATCAATATTGAATACTTACTAAAAACTGTCTGCCTCATCACCCAGTAAAGTGGGGATCCTTATCCCCCATTTTACTGATAGCAAAATTAAGGTTGAATAAAATTGTTCAACCCAGAGAGCATGTGGCAAAGCTGGGATCGGAACCAAATCTGCCTGAGCTCTTTCCAAGTAATAGACGTGGTCACAGAAAAGAATGAAACTTCCCGAGTGGTTGAAACCCAGGTGCCCTTGCAAATCTCCCTACCCCGCATCTTCTTTCCTTATTTTTCCATTGAAGTTTCTTGGCACAATAGACTCATAAAACCTGGCGAGTCGGTCACACAGATCTATTTAGTTAATTCTGTTGCTTATCCATCTATCAGGGATGACCTTGCTCCAAGCTTTTATTGGGTGATTAAGTCCAGTAGCTTTTTCCCTGGGAACATCTCCGTCACCCTTAGGTGTTGTCTTTCCTTTGTTCACACACTGAGCACCCATAAAATGTCCCAGGACACTGATTGGCACAGAGAGCATGGCCCCTGGGGGATTCCCAGCCTGGAGGGAAGGTTTCTATGGGCAAAGCACAGTGGCAGCCATTGAGAAGAGAGGGAGAATCTCCTCGGAGCAGAAATGGAGGTGACTAGTGTGGGCTGGGGCTGTGAGCCGCCAATCTTGAGCTTCCTGACCAGGACACATCAGGCCAGGGATGCTACTTTTGAATCCCATCTTGCTGTGGTCACTGTGGGTCCCTGCATCCCACAGCCTGGCAACCTGCAGCTTGGAAGGAGGCATTTAAGTGGGAGAAGGTTCTGGAAAGCACACAGATGCATAGAGAAGTGAGCTAAATTTGTCCCTCCTCTCAGAACCCAGGAGTTGCTGTGCTGAACACTTGCTTTCTACCAATGGAGAACTGTCTGACCAGAAGATTTAGTTATTTCTCCCCCATGTGGGAAAAGAGAGGGGGAAAGGAGGGAGTAGAAGAGAGAGAGAGACCCAGGGGATACAGTTAGAGACTCCAGAGATTGAGACAGAGACTTGGAGAGAAGCACAAAGAGGCAGAGAGAAAGGTATCCTTTGGTTCGTGGCTCAAGTAAGCAGCAAGAAAGAATTTGAAGCCGAGCCCCAGACTGGGAAAATCAGACATCTTGCCTCTCCATCCCCCCTTGACCACCTGACTCGGGCTGTGGCATTGCTAATTTCCAGATTGGACCATTTTCAGACCTAAGTTCTTTGGGAACGTCAATACTGTTTCCATTGTCTTGGCTGCTCCCTGTCACTTGCCCCCACCCCTGAATAGCTGAGAGCTGACAGGAAATGAATAATATACTAAGCCACAATTGAATAAGCCTTGCAAGGTATTAAAAATGCATACCTTTGACCCAGCATTCTAGGAATCCATCCTCAGGAAAACAATTAAGGACTTGGGCAAAGAATGTAGGTTGAGATTGTTCATCACGGCATTATTTAGAAAGGTCAAAAAGCCAAGAAAAAAGGAAACAAACTAATTAGCCAAACCTGCTCCATAAATACTGGTATAATCTTATAAAGCTTTCCTCACTGTTTTTAAAATTACATTATGAGTAGTTATTTATTGACTGGGAAAAAAACACAATATATTGGTTGGAAAAAGCAAATCATAAATAGTGGATATAGCATGGCTTTCTATAAGTTAGAATAAAAATAAAATTGAGAGTCTAAGAAGAGAGGCCAAGTGGTAATCTCTGGGTGGAGGAATTCTAAGACATTTTGGTGTTTTGTTTTGTTTTGTTTTGTTTGGCTTATCTACATTTTCTAAAATCATTTTTTCCACCATGAGCAGGTCTGATCTGTGTGTCAAGAACAAATATCATTTCAACCATCCCAGCGGTGCCTCTGCCAGAAGCCAGGCTGAATCAGGGCTCCTGGCCCCAGGCACTGGGAAAGGTCATTGACCTTTGAAGGTGGTAGACGCTCATTAAGAATTCCAAAATCAGTGTCCCCGTCCTGGTGTGACTCCCTATCCCAACCGGTCTTGCAGGAGAGAGCTCAGTGACCCAACAGCTTGGTGTCCAAACCTGCTTCATAACCTGCCCCTGAGTCAGCGACACCCGCCCTGGGGGGGAACACTGCACCTGTGGGCACTTGGTGACGCTGAGCCGGCACTGCAGGGCTCCCCGCCTCCCGGGAGTGCCGTCCCTGGTGATGGCTGCGATGTGGGGTTGCTTGCTCAGGCCGGTCCCTACGACACAGATGCAGGTGTGATGCTGAACGCTGGCAAGAGAAGGGCGTCACCATGGCAACCCAGGCTCCCCCCAGCCTCTTCATCCCTGGGATCAGTCCAGAACCCAGGGGGTTTTCAAAGACTGGGTTTTGGAGTCAGAAAAACTCCTGCCTGGTGTCTGGCCTGCTTTTCTCTGCTTCCGTTCCCACATCTATAAAACAGTCTTGCAGTGTCTTACCTTGCCCATCCCCAGGACTGGCGAGGAATAAGCTGTGAATTGGAAATCATGAGAGGAGAAGCATCCCTGTTCAGTTTGTTCCCACAGCTGGGTATGACCTGGGGCAGCTCACTTAACCCCTCTGGCTCAGCTGCTCTATGGATGAACAGGAGAGTAAGGACACACCGTGGTGACTTCCTGGAGATATGTGGCAAGGTGCCTTTAGAATCTCAAAGTTGGAAGGACTCCTCGCCCTCTGCCCATGCAAGAAGCCTTTCAATAAGCTCTCTGACAGAGGTGCTTATCTAACCTCTGCTTGGTTACCTCCTGTGACAGAGAGCTCACGACCGCACAGCTTCCCAAGTAGCTATGACATGACATTAGCTTTAAGAAAGGTCTTCCGTGGAGGCCGTCTTACCATCAGATATTTGTTAAAGGTCTGGCACTTTGGCTTATTGCACATGTTGATCATGCACAGGGCCCTTTGAGCCCCTGGGTTCAATCCCCAGCACCACCCTCCTTACCCCCAACCCCCCCAAAAAAACACTTGTTTAAAAGATTTAGCAATCCTTTCCAGAGCTATTTCCACCCTGATTCTAAGTTGAGAGAGTGTGAGAGAACGCAGCCTCTGACTGGAAGGTTTCTGGCATCCTCTACTCCCATGGTCTCTCCCCCTCTGCTCCCACCAAGCCAACCATAGCCGATCCCGGTCAGAGAGCTGGAAGTGCGGGTCGGGCTCTGTCACAGCCTAGCCTGGGGCTCTGGGTCCAGGGGCTTTGCTCACACGCACAGTGGCCCATTCCCGAGAGCTCTGGCCTTCTCTGTTCTAGGCTTTCCCATTATCAGAGGTCACTCAGGACCTCTCCTGGCCGCTGGCCACAGGCCGTGGGTGAAGCCGCCCCCTCTCCTCTGCTTCCCCCACAGAAGTGTACCTCAGGTTCCTCAACAAGGGTCTGGCCGAGGTGAAGAGGTTCTTCCTGGGGCCTCTGTCCCCATCCTGCAAGATGGTGCAGATGATGCGGCAGTTCCTGTACCAGGTCCTGCCCGAGGACTCCTACAAGTTCGCCTCCGGGAAGCTCCACGTGGGCCTCACCCGCTTCACGGACGGGGAGAGTGTGGTGGTCTCCGAGTACACGTCCAAGGAGGAGCTCATCGAGGCAAGGCCCGGGACTTAGGACGCCACGTCGGGGGGAGTGGCCCCCGACTTCCTTCCTTCCTTCTCCCCCCACCTCCCCGGTCCTTGCTGTCCTTCCGTCTGGCATCTCCTCTGCCAGGAGCCTCGTTAGACGGACACAGAGAGACCTAAGGGCAGCCAGGCGGCCCCGTGCTGGACTCCCACGTCCCTGGGGGCTCTGCTGTCCTTCCCCGCTGCGTGCCCAGCCGTCTGGGCTAATCCTGGAGCTCCTTCAGGACACCGGCCTGGTCGCTGCTCCTCCTGAATTACCCCCAGTTTGTGGAAACGGTCAGGCAGAGCTTCCCTCCGTGTCCCCCTGCACTGTCCCGTGGCAGGAGGTTACCACTCCCGGGTTCTCACTTGGAAAGTGCACACGCACCCCGACAGCCACCGCGCCGAGCTCACCAATTCAGATTTTAGTTATGAATCACTATTGCTGGGCTGTGCAGCGAATATGCCCAATTTTCTTTCAGGACAAAGAGGCTATGCCTCAGGGCCTTCCTTCCCCCAATCAGGGCCTTGCTATTGCACCCTCACTTCCCCTTCCTGGCCCGATCCTGGGGCGAACAGGCAGTGGACAGCTCATGTCCCCCTGGGTTATCACCCTGTTCTTCTAGTCCTGCCCTCTCAGGCCCACATTCCCACTTCATCTCCTACTGCCATGATCTTCTCTCCCTCCCCACCTCCTGCTCCTACCAAGACAACCATAGTAGACCACACCCAAACCAGGCCCCAGGGCCTTTGCGCCTGCTTGCCCTCTGTCTGGGTTTCTTTCCTGCCTGCCCTGCTTTTCCTACAAGGGCACTTTCCTTCATCCCCTCCTGCCCTGCCCGGCTCCGCATCCTTCTTTGGGGCCAAAAAGCTATGCTCACCTCCCTGTGTACACCTGTCACCCCACTGCACTGTGTCCTCCCTACTCCTCCCTGTCTGTGAGCATTTCCACCCCTCTGAGTCCAGGGCCTGGCCCAGGGCAGATGCGGATTAGTGGTAACTGAATCCCACTGGATTCAGGGAAGGTTGGCATCCCCTGGGGACCTGGTGATATTGAGGCCACTCTCTCCCTTTCAAGCTGGGTCATCAGGCCCCAACTGACCAAAGAGGTCACCAAGGACCCAGCTAGTTAGGGCCAAGCCAGGTTCTGCTTCCCAGGCTGGCACCTGCGCCCCAGGCTTAAGGAAGTGGGGCTGGGGGTGGCCAACTGACCAGTGGCCTCCAGGTGAGCCCCCCATTTCCAGGTCCTGTCGCACCTCAGCCCTGCTCTCCCCCCCAGGCCCTGTACTGCAGCTGCTTCGTCCCCGTGTACTGCGGCTTCATCCCCCCGACCTACCGCGGCGTGGTGAGTGCTCTGAGTGCTGAGAGGGATGAGCGGGACCCAGGGTCCCTCGGGGTCCTCCCTGTGACCCACATCTGGGGAGGCAGAGGGGTGGTCTCGAGTTGCAAAGTGTCTCCCCTCTGAATCCCCCACGTGGGTGGTTTCGGGGTTTTGAGATGAGCCTCCCCCACGGCACCAGCCGTCCAGGGCCGGCAAACCAAGGCTCGGCCTTGGGATTTTCCCAGACTCAACAGACGGATCCTGGGACTCTGGGACCTGGGATCTTGAGCGATGGGGATCTTTGGAGCTTTGTGAGCCGGTGCCCAGAGAGCCTCTGGCGACCCTCTGAATCCCTCGGAGGAGGATCTCATGAAACCAGCCAGACTCTGATCCATGGTGTTTGGGGAGGGCCGAGAGTCTGTGCCTCTAACCTGCCCCCGGGGACCTGGTGCTGCTGGGTCACCGGCCACACTCTGAACAGTGAGGGCCCAACCCGCGCCCTCCTGGGTCTAGAGAGAGTGAGGTTCAGGGAAGGCCCTGGGTGGCAGACAGCTCCTTCTCAGGCCCCGCAGTATCCAAGCGTCTGTCCTTGTCCTGCTTTGTTCAGTTCATAGAAACAGAAGCCCCAGAGGGAGGGGACTGTGAGGCTGGGCCCCGCCAGGCTGTGCCGGGAGGCGGGGTCTCTAGCTTCCCACTCTCAGGCCTGGGAGCCCCATCTCAGCACCATTCAGATGCCTGAGCAGAGGGTGAGCAGGGTCCGAGCACTGGGCTAGGAGTCCAAGGCCACCTTGGGCACATCGCTGGCCCACAGCATCTTGGTTTCAAGGCTTGTCCCCAAGGCTCTTCTGGACCTGCTGTCCCATGGTCCCAATCCCTTGGCGCCCTCCTGGTGGGGGATGAGACTCGGGGCCTCAGACGGCGTGTCTCCCTCCCCCAGAGGTACATCGACGGGGGCTTCACGGGCATGCAGCCCTGCTCCTTCTGGACCGACTCCATCACCATCTCCACCTTCAGCGGGCAGCAGGACATCTGTCCCCGGGACTGCCCGGCCATCTTCCACGACTTCCGCATGTTCAACTGCTCCTTCCAGTTCTCCCTGGAGAACATCACCCGCATGACCCACGCGCTCTTCCCCCCGGACCTGGTGGTGAGGGGCAGGAGGGGTCTGGGGCGAGAGCACGGGACCCGGGTGGGACGGCTGCGGGGTGGGCCACTCAGGGTCCACCTCCCCTGGAAGAGCCACCCACTTCCTCCAAGAGCCTGCATCCTGGCCAGGGGCTGGCCACAGGTGACCCCAGCCCCGAGCTCTTCCAAACCCAGCGTCCCCCCCTGCAGAGCAGCGCCATGTCAGCAGCACTGACGGGGGCGGGGCGCTGATGGGGGGACCGCCTGCGCTCTGACGTCAGGGTGCCACAGCTGGGCTCAGCAAGCCGGGGCCTAGGTGGCCTCAACCAGCTTGTCCCTTGATTCTGTGCAGCCCGAGGCTGTGGGTGGTTTTCCATTTTTAAAGTTGTGTTTAGAAAAAAAATAATAATAACAGAAGGAGAGCATGTGGCAGAGACCATGCAGCCAGCACAGCCCCAGAAATTGACTAGAAAAACCCTGATGGGCAAAGCCTCAGGAAATCAGCCCACCATCTATCCTCTGCATAGAGGCTATTACTGTCTCCATGTTACAGACGAAGAAACTGAGGCTCTGAGGGGCTTCCTGTCACACAGCCAATAAAAGGTCACATTGGAGCTTGAACCCAAACTCCAGATTCTGCTCTTCATGTGGCCTGAAGGCATCTTCTCTGAAACTCCCAGGAACGTCTCACCCCTTATTTATTTTTTTTATTTAATTTGTTCTTTTTAGTTACACATGACAGTAGAATGTGTTTGACATATCAGACATACAAGGAGTATAACTTCCCATTCCTGTGGTTGTACATGGTGTGGGTTACACTGGTCGGGTATTCATATAGGACCAGAGGAAAGTTCTGTCTGATTCATTCTACTGTCTTTCCTATTCCCATCCCCTGCCTTCCCTTTATTCCCCTTTGTCTAATCCAAAGTACTTCTATTGTCCCCCACCCCTTTATTGTGAGTCATATCAGAGAGAACGTTCTGCCTTTGGCTTTTTTGGGATTGGCTTATTTCATTTAGCATAATAGTCCTCAGTTACATCCATTGACTGGCAAATGCCCTAATTTCATTATTCTTTATGGCTGAGTAATATTCCATTGTGTGTATGTACATCATATTTTCTTAAACCATCCATCTGTTGAAGGGCACCTAGGTTGGTTCCGTAGCTTGGCTATTGTTCTCACCCTTTCTTGCCAGGGGAGGCTGGTGATGTGCTGTGAGGGGAGGGACACCCTAACACAGCATCCCTAGGGACCGGGATCAGGAATTGCTCCTCGGTTCCTTGTAGATGGTGAGGGATGGGACACTGGATGAGTACACTCTGAAGAGCCCACAAGTAAAGTTCAGGAGCAATGCAAGTGGCTGCTCTTGGTGGGGAGGGGACCATGGCTCTGTCCATCCCTGCAGCCTGGTTATTTTCTGGTGCCCACCCCCAGATCCTGCAGGATTACTACTACCGAGGCTACGAGGACACAGTGATGTATTTGAGGAGGCTGAGTAAGTACCTGTGGGACCCCAGGGGAGGGAGGTGGAGGACTGGAGAGGAAGGGCTGAGTTGAGGGACAGTGCCCCACCTCTGTGGCCTGGAGAGACGGAAATGGGGACAAGGGCTTGACAAAGGTCACTGTGGCCACAAATAAGGATCAGACCCCCGTGGGAAGGGGGCTGTGGGTCTGATCATGGGACAGGGCCTGAGGCATCTCCAGGGTACCTATGAGTCTAAGAACCGTGTCTAGGAGCTGCCCAGGCCAGTCTCCCTGGAGAAGTCTCTTTTCATTCCATTCCTTCTCTTCCACTCTAGTCTTTCCAATAAGGTCATGTTGTTATGGAGAACTAGAGGGGACTAGAGATATTCAGGGAAGACGGAGAGGCCTTGCCCTGTGCTGGTCCGGAAGGGTGGTCCCTGACCCGTGTCCCTCTGTGCATCCTCAGGGTGGTGGGATGATTCCAAGGACCTGTGTGAAGTGCTCTCGCCCCAGGAAGGCCACCAAATGTCTTTGTTATAAGAAATGAAAAGAGCCAGGAGCAGTGGTGCTCGCCTGTGATCCCAGGGACTCAGGAGGCCAAGGCAGAAGGCTCCCGGGTTCAAGGCCAGCCTTGGCAACTTAGACCTTGTTTCAAAACAGAAAATAAGAAGGAATGGGCATGTAGCTCAGAGGCAGAGCACCCGCCTAGCACGCACAGGCCCTGGGTTGGTTCTTTTTCCAGGACTGCAAAACCCCAAAACCTTCAGGGATGAGACTAAGGATTAAATGGAATTTTCTTTCTAGGATTTGTTCACTTTTTTTTCCCTTCTTCAAAGCAGTTCCTACATTTTTCAGTAACTCTTTCCCTATGTCTTTACTTTCTCCTGGATCCTTTCTCCTAACAAGGGGGCCCAGGAGGTTGGAAAGAACTGGACAGTACATGGGCTCAGAAGGCAAGTAGCCCTGGGTCCCTCCCACATCCCTGCTCCCATGTCAAACTGTGTGATCTTGGGAAAATCACTTTCCCTCTCTGAACCTTTGCTTCCTAATCTATTTTTTTTAAAAGAGCTTAGGGAGTGAGGTTTTGGCTCAGTGGTAGAGTGCTTGCCTAGCATGTGTGAGGTACTGGGTTTGATCCTCAGCACCACCTAAAAATAAATAAATAAAATAAAATAAAGGTGTTGTGTCCATCTACAACTAAAAAAAATATTATTTTTATCAAAGGGTGGAGTTTAGGTGCTAGAGCCCAACACCTACTTGACTGTAGGGTCTTGAGAAGGTAACTAATCTTCTGGGCCCTCAGTTTTCTCATCTGTAAAAGGAGGCTAATCTTGGAGCCTAGCTCAGAGACTGACTGAAGGATTAAAGGATTGGAGCACACAAGGCCTGAGCCCAGAGCTCAGATGGGTGGTGGCATTTACTGAGGACACCACAGCAGCAGCCAATGAATCCCACTGCCCCCTCTGGCCTTGGTGAAAGGCCCGCTTCTTACCCATCCAAAGGACAGATGCCACCTCATGTGGACTCCCTCGGACAGCCCCCTCTTCCTCCACATTTATTCTGGTGACAGCTGGGACGATTGGAGCCCAAGGGTCTGAAACATAGGTGACCCCAGGAGTATGGGTGGGGAATGGAAGGAGGCTGGGTGACCGAGCTCGGCAACAGGAGGGGTGGCAGGCCTCCCCCAGGACCCCCACCCTTTCCGCAGGGGTGGCCGGAGTGGGGGACTTGGAGTTTGAAGACCCCCCCCCATTTGGGGCTTAGATCCTGGAGCAGATTCCAGTCCCCGGCCCGTGAGGCCCCTTGACACCTGCCCACGGTGGCATCTGTCTCCTGGAATGTATTTTCTTTTTCTCTCAGGACGAGTCTTGGGGACAGTCACAAAGTGGCTCTGCAGCATCATTAGCCGCCCCCTTGTCGGTGACCCTTCTTGCACCCTCTGGAGGGACCTCACGCCCTCCACCCTCCTCACCCTCTGCCCATGGCTGGTGCGGACATTTGCACAGGTTTGATTGACAGCTTTAAACCCCACGGATGAAACCAAGTGGTAGGATTCCAGGCGTCCCCGGAACACTCGAGGCAGCGCAGTCGAGGGTGGCAGAGTCTCCAGTGGCCCTGGGATCACACCAAGCAGGAGCAGATTCAGCTCCAAGCAGGAAAAGTTTTCACAACGGCTCCCGGCTGAGTATAGGGCTCTCTCTTCCAGTGTGCGCATGCGCGCCTGCTCTCGGGCAGTCTGCCTCCAGCACCAGCTCCTCGGGCCCTGGGAGGGATTGGGCTCTCCTCCTGGCCCTGGATGTGAACAGGAGACGACACATCCGGAGACATTTCGGTTGGTGCGACCTGTCATCTGGGGAGCAGCCTGGCTGCTTTCTGGATGGGGGTCACCTCTGGCAGGAAGCCACATCCCCATGTCACCTCCTCGCGTCCTCCTTCTCCTCCCTCCCAAGGGCTCCCATCCTCCTCCCCATTCCTGCTGCCGGGCTCCCCACCCTCGGCCTCTCCTGCAGCCGCCCGCCCTGCGCTGGCGCGCTAGAAAAGCCACACTGTCACGCAGACGTGGGGACATGGGCGCGGGGTGGGGTTGGCACTCTGTGGGCGCCACCTCTAAACGCCCATGGGACACCCTGCATGCCCAGCCCTCCCTCCGCTTCTCTCCTCCTTCCTCCCTCTCACAACAAGATACTCTCTCTCTCTCTCTCTCTCTCTCTCTCTCTCTCTCTCTCTCTCTCTCTCTCCTCCCCACCCTGTGCTCACACACACACACACACACACACACACACACACACCCTGTGGAAACATCACCACAACCAAGGCAGCCAGCCATCCGAGTCCCCTGGTGCCATTTCAAGACTGCCCCCACCGTCCTTCCCAAGCAATCCCGGTCTGTTTTCTGTCATCACGGGGAATTTGCATTTTCTAGAATTTTGACAAATAGAATCTGATAGATCGAATTCTCTCTTATCTGGATTCCGTCACTCTGCAGAAGTATTCCAAGGTTCACCCATGTTCTTGCAAATAGGAACAGTTTCACTTTTTTTTTAACTTTCCCTTCCCACCCACCTTGTGAGCACACCCACAGCTCTCTGGTCCATTGGCCTGCTGATGGACAGTCAGGTTGCTTCCCGATTTGGGCTGTTATGAAGGAAGCTGCTTGAACACTCGCCCATAAGTGTCTGTATGGACACTCGTCTTCATTTCTCTTGGGTAAACAATGGAAAACTGGATTGTGTGGTATGTGTATATTTAACACATATAGTTTTTTTTTTTTTTTCCTGGTACTGGGGATTGAGCCCTAAGCACTCGACCACTGAGCCACATCCCCACCCGCTTTTTAAAAAATATTTATTTTTAGTTTTTAGTGGACATAGCATCTTTATTTTATTTTTATGTGGTGCTGAGGATCTAATCCAGCGCCCCGCGCATGCCAGGTGAGCGAGTTGCTGCTTGAGCCACATCCCCAGCCCCCCCACCCCTTTTTTGTATTTTATTTAGATTCAGGGTCTCGATAAGTTGCTTAGGGCTTCACTAAGTTGCTGAGGCTGGCTTTGAACTCGTGATCCTCCTGCCTCAGCCTCCTGAGTCGCTGGGATTTCAGGCATGTGCCACATAGAGTTTAACTGTGGAAAAATAACTGTAAACCATTTTAAGTACACAGTTGAGGTTCATATTGTTGTGCAACAGAACGCTAGAACTTCTTCATCTTGAAAAACTGAGACTCCATAGCCACTGGTCGCCGATTCCTCTGTTCCTCCTCCTCCGGCCTCTGGCCACTGACTTTCTACATGTTTGGCTACTTTCTACATGTTTAGATATCTCATAGACGTGGAATCAGATAGTGTGACATAAGTGACTGGCTTATGTCACCTGGCACAGCGTCCTCGGGTTGGTCCGTGTCATGGGAGGTGCAGGGTTCCCTTCCACCTTCAGGCTGAGCCATTCGTTTGTACCATGTTGTCCTTATCCATTGATCTGCTCATGGGCCGCAGGTGTTCCCCCTTCCTTATTGTGAATAATGCCGTGATGAACATGAGGGGTATGAATTTCTCTTTAGAATCCTATTTTTGATGCCTTTGGAATATGTGTTTGACTTTTAAGAGGTTGCCAAATTGCTTCCCAAGTCACTGTACCACCTTCCGTTCCCCACCCCCTGCAGTGGGTGAGAGCTCCAGTTTCTCCAGATTTTCACAATAGTATGGTGGGTCACTTAGCTTCAGCCATTCCAGTAGGTGTGCGGAGGTATCACTGGGGTTTGATTCGCAGTTTCCTGATGACTAACGATGTTAAGCATCTTTCATTTGCTTGTTTGCCATCCTTATCTTCTTGGTGAAGTGTCTGCTCAGCTGTCTTCCCATACCCCCTTTTAATAATGATTTGTATAATAGTTTAAGACTTATAGAAAATTTGTGAAATAGGTTGAGTGAGATTGTGCACCCCTGGAATCCCAGCAGCTTGGGAGGCTGAAGCAGGAGGACCTCAAGTTCAAAGCCAGCCTCAGCAGTGAGGCCCTAAGCCACTCAGTGAGAACCTAAGCCACTCAATGAGAACCTGTCTCTAAATAAAATACAAAAAAGGGCTGGAGATGTGGCTCCGTGGTTAAGTACCCCTGGGTTCAAATCCAGGTATGAAAACAAAACCAAAAAAAAAAAAAAGTGAAATAGTACAGGGAGATTCAGTGCACTCTCATCCTCCTCCTCCTCCTCCTCCTCCTCCTCCTCTTCCTCTTCCTCTTTTGATTATCATTATTATTTTTGGTACTGGGAATTGAACCCAGAGGTGCTTTACTACAGAGCTTCATCCCCAGCCCTTTTTATTTTTTTGAGTCAGGGTCTCATTAAGTTGCTCAGGCTGGCCTCTAACTTGTGATCCTCCTACCTCAGGCTCCCGAGTCGCTGGGATTACAGGCTTGCACCACTGTGTCCGGTTCTATTATTGAAGTCTCACATCATTAAATGTTATAATATGGTATATATGTAATAGGATACACCATATGTCACATTTGTTCCAATTAACCAATGGATACTGATACATCATTATTAACTAAGGGCCACGGTTTATTTCTTAGCTTTTCTTAGACTACTTGGGCGGTGTCTGCCTCCCCACCCTAGACGGTAGACTCCCGGATCCAGGGAGAATCATGCTTATTTTTCTCACTGCGAGTTGAAGTAAGGAGAGAAGGGCCGTTGAGCGCACTAGTCCCATTTATGAAGATAACTTGGGGACCGTTTTTGCAGATGCTGGGTGATGTCGGGGTTCGTCAGGCTGCCTGTGACTCAGGGCGTTGTTCTCCCCAGATGCTGCCTACCTGGATTCCCCGTCCAGGACAGTGTTGTTCCCCCGCGTGGAAGTGTACTGCCAGATAGAACTCGCCCTTGGCAATGAGTGCCCTGAGCGCAGCCAGCCGAGCCCCCCAACCCGGCGGGAGGAACCCTCAGAGCTTCGTCCCCAGGGGGCCGGCAGGGATGGCCACCCGCCTGCACCCCAACCCGTGAAGACTCCTCAGTCCACGTGCGAGTGCCCTGTGCAGTCACCTGCTTCTCCACCTGTCCCTACGTCCAAACCTCCACCTGCACCACCAAAGACCTCATCACTGCCACTGTCTCCAGGTGATTTGCCACCTGTGCCACCAACCTCAGGCTCAGCTGGGCACTTATCACCCAGCCCAGTACCTGGCCCGCCACTGCCTTTTGTACCACCTGAGCTGTCACCTGTGTCATCTGGGCAGCAGATACACCCATCGGGACTGCCACTCAGCTCACCACCCTCCCAGGCACACACATCACCCAGGCCACCCCTGGGGCCGTCAGCTGCGGGGACATCACAACCATCGCCTGGAGGCTCTCCTTTAGCGTGGCCTGCACAACCACCTGTGGAGGAACTGGGCCCAGAACAGCCCCAAGGTAGGGACCCCTCTGGCGGCCCACTGCATTCTCCTGTCAGTTCTCAGCAAGCTTTAGCCGCTCTGCTTGTTATGAGCTCAGACCACCACAGGGGGGCAGTGCGATCACCATCTCTTTGTTCCTTTGGTGCTGTGATTCTCAAAGTGGTCCCTCCAACCAGTTAGAAAGCATCATCTGAGAACTTGTTAGAAATGACAATTCTCAGGTCCAACCACAGACCTGCTAAGTCATAAACGGGGTGGGGCTCGGCTCTCTGTCTTTTTCACCAGCTGTGGTGATTGTGCCCACTCCATTTGAACTGCTGCAGGGCTGCTCAGTGGAATTTAATGGTGAAAGCCCCTGTGTGGTGCTGGGCGGTGATACTCAGGAGTGGTCCACAGGTGGTGGCCAGCCCTCCGCACTGTTACTAGGTCACTATGAAAAGAGTGCAGAGCCCCAACAGTTTGATCAATTTTCTACTAATGCATTTGAATTGTAGTTTACAAGAATACAGCCCATTAAAGATTGCAAATAATTTTTAAAATATTTATTTTTTAGGTGTAGATGGACACAACACAATGCCTTTATTTTTATGTAGTGCCGAGGATCAAACCCGGGTCCCGCCCGTGCTAGGTGAGTGCTCTCCTGCTGAGCCACAATCCCAGTCCCGCAAATAATTTTTTAAAACCAATTGTTCCCTATGGAGAGTTTGAGAAAACACCTTATGGGGCTACCAAGATGAACTGTTTTTGCTTCATTACCCCCATAAAATCTCTCCAGCCTAAGGGACAACATGCATCCCCACAAGTTGAAAGCATAAGTAACAAAACCCACGTTGGAGGGAATTCATAGAAAATCTGACCACTTCTCTCTGGGGAATAAGAATAAGAGAGGCTTCTTGGAGGTGACAGGAGCTAAATGAACAGGTTTTTGATAATTGTGGTTTATGGGATGGAGAAGAAAGAGCTTTCAGATTCATATTCAAGAGGCTCAGGCGCAGAGTAAGAAAGTGGAAGGCACATACAGAGTGAAGAGGAGATGTGTGTGACCACCAAGAGTGGCCAGGGTGTGGGCAGGAGGAGAGCAGCCCAGAGGATGGACAGGTGGTCCTCACAGTCCCCAAGCCAAACTTCCATAGTTAAAAGCCCAGATTACCAAGGTTTGCTTCTTTGGGGCTCTACCCCAAGTCAGAAGTGACCCCTTTTCTCTGGAATAGATTAATCTTTATTCTTTTAATCACAATAAGACAAAAACATGCCTTATTGTTTTTGTCTTAGGAGTCGAAAAATTGAAGGATTTTACATGCTTTCTAATTTCCCATTAAAGTACAATGCATTTTGGGGAGGGGTACCAGGGATTAAACTCAGGGGCACTCGACCCCTGAGCCACATCCTCAGCCCTATTTTATATTTTATTTAGAGATAGGATCTCACTGAGTTGCTTAGCGCCTTGCCATTGCTGAGGCTGGCTTTGAACCCACCATCCTCGTGCCTCCAGAGCTGCTGAGAGTGTGTGCTCCTGCACCTGGCCAGTATCATGTGTTTATTTGCAGCTGGTCACCCTTGAGCATAAAGGTGGCTGAATTCAGAGCCTGAGCAGACCTCACCCTGAGTTGGCTTTCTTCACTCATGCTGAGGCTGCACAGACAGGCCAGTGGTTGGTTCTCAGCTAGAAGTGATCCTATTCCCAGGAGGCATCTAGCAATATTTGGAGATATTTTTGGATGTCACCTAGTAGGCAGAGGACAGGGATGCTCTTACACCAAAGAAGTATCTGGCATCAATGACAAAAGTACCAAAGCTGAAAATCTGTCACAATCTACAGTGGAGCCTTACAGCAACATCCCCAGCCATCTGTGGGAGTTAGGCAGAAGGGGACCCCCTTGGGTTCAGTGCCTTCAGTGATTCAGTGATGGCTCGGGTGTTATTTGGGGACAGAATTGCAAAAGGCCTTAGGAAAATCTATAAACAATGGGCAAGCTTCACCGCAAATAGATTGGGGACACCTAGGGACATCCCAGAGGACCCTAGCAAAGGAACTTCAGATAGGGAAATCTATATTTTATACTACTTATATTGATATCTACCACACAGTTATCTTCGGCTAGCCTGCATCCCATCCTCACTGAAAACATTCAGAGAGCTTGCTTAAGAGCGATGGTCATGATGGGTATTCTCCATTCTGAGAAGAAAGTGTTACGTGAAGCCCGTGATGGGAGTCCAGGCCCCTCTGAGGGGTTTTTCCTGAAGACTCCCCCTACCTGCTGCTGTCTGGGGGAGTCATCCCTGATGTCCCACAGCTGCTGCCCTGGGTCTACCAAATCTAGTAATGTGATTGGTCCTAAATATGGGAATTTGAGAACAAGAGAATTTACTGTGGGTTTTTTTTTTTTAACACTCTTGCTTACCTACTGTTGTCATTTCAAAAGGACCAAGTGCTAATTACAGTGGCACATGCCTGTAACCCCAGTGATTCAGAAGGCTGAAGCAGGAGGATCACAAGTTCAAAGCCAGCCTCAGCAACTTAGGGAGGCTCTGAGCCACTTAGCAAGACCCTTCTTTCTCAAAATAAAAAAGAACAAAATGGGCCGGGGAAGAGGCTCAGTGGTTACGCACTGGCATAAAACAAAACCCCAAGTCCCCGCCAGGGCCCCCTGTCGCTCACGTCTCCTGTGTTTTTGCTTTGCCTGAAGCTCCCCTCGCCTCTGCAAATCCCCAAAGTGCGGTACCTCGCGTCCTCGTCCCCGGGAAGGAAACCACCAGCCGGCCTCACGGGACGTAAGTGCCTTCCCTGGGAGCAAGGGGCCCCGCTAGGCGACAGGCCGCGGCCCCGGGACGTGGCGACCCTGCTCTGGCTTGCGTGGTTCCCGTGTCCCTTTCTGTCCTCCGCCGTGTGGGCACCAGCCTGCTGGCGTGGAGGACGCTGTGCTCCTCAGATCCCTCCTTTGCACACCGGGGACGCCCCTGTGGGTGCAGCACGCGGACGCTGTCGTGGAGCCACAGTTCAAAGCGGGGAGCAGCATCCTGCTGGCCTCCGCAGCCCCTGCACCGTCTGATTGAGGGGAGCCCTTCTTAGAGTGTGCGTGAATTGTCCAGTGTGTTCAGCAGACTGAATTTTTATCTTTACGGCCATCATGAGAGGGTCTGGGGTTCTAGACCCCCATATTTTTTTAATGTTCCCTGGGGGCTACTTACCTGGGCTCCTGGCTGGATGGATGGCAATTGGGTTCGCCAGGGGAAATCAGAGGTGAGTCAAGCACCTTTCTCCCCATCCCACCCACAACTTCATCCCCCCCTGGGACAGCCCTGACTGGCCAGGTCCAGGGTTGGCAGCTGCAGGTCTGGAGATGGGATCCAACTTACCAAGCCATCTCTGCCCTCCTCATTATGCTTAATTTTAACTCTACAACTTTTTGACAGAGTTTGTATAAATGTCATGATTTTGAGCTTACGAATAGATTTTGCATTGTGGTCACATCACTTAAACGTCTGCATTTCCATGTAATAGTGAATACAAGTCTGAGTCTCAGTGGCCTGGTTGGCATGATGTTAGGTAAATATTCATCAGTATCCATCAGTGTTTGCTGGGCATCTCTGGTGCTCGGCCACCCCATGGGTCCTCCTCCTGAGCTACAGCAGGACCCTAGAGTGATGGACGTGGGATGGGCCACTAACAAACCACCTACTTCCTGTCTTTGCCCAGGGAGAGCGCGGCTGAGGATGCAAACTGGGTGAACAAGGTATTCAAGAAGAACAAACCAAAACCAAGCAGCACCCGAAAAGGCTTTCCAAGGCAACCGCGGGCCAAAAAACCAGGCAGCAAAGTGCAGTGAGCCTCTTACGTTTTTTTTTTTTTTTTTTAAATCCCTGGGGACCAGCTCTGGAGACTGCCTCAGGAACATTCTAGAAGCATGGGGGCAGGGAGACTGGGCTTTGGAGACAAGAAATCCCTCTGCCTCAGCCTCACTCTGTGGCCACACTCAGGACCCTTGGCTTCTCTGAGCCTTCATTTCCTCATCTGCCAAATGGAGGTGATACCTACCAGCTCATAAGATCAGGAGAGTTGAATGCAATCAACTGTGTGAATCGCTTCTCAAAGCAACATCCTTCCTGATTGTCCCTGTCCCGAGTGGGGGTCCCCAGGGAGGCATAAGGATTTCAGCTGGATGAGGGTCCTTATTACCCTCATAACCCAAAGCCCATAGCAGAGTCTGGGTAAATATGGACTTGGTGGGTGGGGGGTGCAGGTGGTGGGAAGGGGATTCTCAGAGCTGCTCAGGAAGTGGGGCAAACCCTCAGGTCCCTTTCTGGATTACAGTGTGGGCAGGGAGCAGACAGGACTGTAGGCAGCTGGAGGTTCCTGGGGTCATGGAATTGGTGCCTGGGATTGTTCTCGCTCTGTTCGTTTGTCTCCAGCCTCAAGATTTCCCTGACCTTTGAGGGTTCATCTCTCTGTCTCTAGGAGCTCAAGGTCAAGTTCATTCATGGGAATTTAAGCAGGTCCATCATAGGTGTAGGGCACCCCTGGAGCTAGGAGGACCAGCCAGGCCAAGACTCAGGCTCCTTGATTCCAGGGCCAGTTCTCTTCCCACCGCAGCTGGGCAGGGGGACTGTGCCATGGGCCGGAGCTCCCTTAGTGGATGAACCTGCAGATGGAGGTGTCTTCTAAGGAAGCAGGCAGACTGCAGCGGTCTCACAGACGACCCTGGGCCAGGTGCCTGCAGCCTCCTTCACAGATGAGGATGAGCTGCCTGGAGGCGAGTTCCTCTTTGGTGATCTTAATTATAGGCACCTTCGCTGCTCTGAACTTCAAAGGCCTGGATTAGGGCAGAAAAGAGAAGCTCCAGAGAAGCCAGGGGAGGAGAATGGGGAGGGATCTGAGAGGAGATATCTGCTCATTTCCTCCCAGGCTGCAATCACAAGTGACACGGTCTCATTCATGGGCTAGTTCTGAATAAACTCCTGGTCCCTGCTGATAACCCTGCCAGCAACAGGAGAGAGGCCAGAATAAACATTACAGGGCAGATGCCCCACACAGTCATCAGTGTGGTTGTTTAATCAGACATGCAAATCCATGCTCTGATGCAGATTGTATTCGGCAGTTGTTGCTGCATAACAAACAACCCCATTTCAGTGGATTAAAATGGCAAACATTTTTTTTTTCTTCCTTGGGTCTATCCATTGACTTGGATAGCTCTGCCTAGGCTACAGGTCCACACTGATTCTGTTCCATGTCCCCTTCATCCCAGGACCAAAGTCAGTCCAGGCATGCTCTTCTCCTAGAGCAGGTGGAGATGGGGATCAGCCTGGCTTTCCTCTTGGGCCTCGTCTCTCCTCCAATAAAAGTTCAGTAGTCTTCTACTCTGGATTATAGAACTGTCCCCCCATTAAGAGACAGCCTGAGGGCTGCAAATGGAAAAGGAGGACACCTGTCCTGCCCCCAGTTCCTCCTACTTATACCAGACTCCCCAAATTTCCTACACTAGAGAGCCTGTTCTTGGGGTTTTCATTGAATTTCCCCCTATTCAAATGTGAATGCAATAATAATAATAATTAAAATGTACACGGTACTTATGTTCCAGACACGGTGGCACAGAGACATGAAATCACATGCCCAAAGCCACGCAGCTGGTATGTGGCAGAGCCAGGATCCCATCCAAATCATCTGTGCCTGGTGTCTTGATGTACAGGGTGGTAGGAACACTGGCCCAGGAGTCAGAAGTCACAGGGTTTGGCCCTCATTAGGCTGGTCACTTTACTCAGTGGGAATCTCATTTTCTCCCTGGTCTACTTCATCCCTCAGTTATTTGGGGACTTAAATGAGAAGCCGAATGTGCAAGCATCCTGTGTCATTCTGGCTACGGAAGACGCGTCAAGTCCCGTGGTTAGTGCCCAGGCCTGTGCGGGACATTTGGGGAGTCTGAGGCAGCTTGAAAACCTCGGGTGCCAAGAGGAAGGAGCAGAGAGAGGGTCTCTGACCACGAGGAGGACACACAGAGACAAGCCACCCACTCAGACTCTGGGTGGGGGACTCTATTCTAGCACAGCTTAAGCGTCACTTGAGAAAGACATTATCCCTATTTTTTTAATACCTTCACTTTTTGTAGGATGAGAAATTTTATTACTTTTTCTGGTTTTAAAAACAACATGCTCTCATTACAAATTTAGAAAAGCATAAATAGAAAGTAAAAAAATCTCCAGAAACCCCACCACCCAGATGTTAATATTTTGGTGAAGAAAACTTCCACATTTTAAGCATATGCAGACAGACATGTACTTTTTATTTTTATGAAAATGGCATCATATGCTACATAATGTTTTATAGCCTGTTTTTGGACTAAATGGTATATCGCTGCTTCTTTCCATGTCAAGTATAGATTTATCAAGTCTGTAATGGATCTGTGGTATTCCGTTGGTGTGAGTGTATCATTGCCTGTTTCATCGATCCCCTACGGATGGACATTTAGGTTGTTTCTACTTTCTCGCTCTTACGGATATTGCTGTGATAAATGTCCCCCTGAACACTTTCTTGGACACACATACCCAACTGTCCCTTTGGTGTGTACCTTTCTAGAACTGGAATTGCTGGGTCAAAAGGTCTATATTTGGGGTAGGTTGACCAAATGACCAAAGGTTGACCAAAGGTATGACCAAATTGTCCTTGAGGGGATTACAATAACTTACACTCCCATCAGCAAATGAACTAGAGAGTAGATCTTCCTACATGCAAGCTCACCAATGCTAGGCATCCCAGGTCCACTGTCCCTTACCTGCAATTCAGAGATGGGAGATACTCTGAAAAAACAAACACCTGTGGTCATTCTTGACAGCAAAATCGTCACTGTTGCCAGAGGTCAAATTATTTGTGGCCTTTCTTCCACGTGGTATGAATTTTTTAACTTGCCTGTAGAAATATAATGTGACTCACTGTGGGGTGCTCCCACACCCTATGGGGGAGTTACAAAACACTTTAACCAAAGCACTATTTTTCTTTCTCTAAAGTTTGGAGAAAGTTTGGTTCTCAAGCACATCTGCCCACGAGGGCTTTAGATAAGAGATGTGCAACCTGTCTTAATCTTCATTTATTTGCATTTGTTTATTTATTTATTTTTGCAATACTAGGGATTGAACTCAGGGGCACTCGACCACTGAGCCACATCCAGCCCTATTGTATATTTTATTTAGAGACAGGGTCTTGCTAAGTTGCTTAGTGCCTCATTGTTGCTGAGGCTGGCTTTGAACCTGCAATCCTCCTGTCTCAGCCTCCCAAGCGGCTGGGATTATAGGCTTGTGCCACCGCACCCAGCTTGTCTCAATCTTTTAATTTTATTTCAAACTGACTGGTGAAAACTAACACGCTTAAATTTCTCCCAAATTAGCTGACCAGTCATCTCCGAGCGACTTAGTTAGGCAATCTGTTCTCTCCCTGCTGATTTAAACAGCACCTACTTTTTGTGCTGACTTGTCGTTAGTGTCTGGGCCTGTCCCATTGGCCTGGCTGCCCGCTCCTGTGTCACCAGCACATGTCACACCCACTGAGCTTCTCAAGTGCTTGCGTGTCTGGTGGGCCAGGCGCTGGCTTCCTGATGGTGAGGATTTTGAAGAACGTGTGGGACGGTTATCAAGTGCCAGGACTCTGTTTCACATTCAATTATCTTAACCCTGTGGGGTGGGCGGGCTCAGAGGGGTGAAGGCATGGAGGAAATCACACAGCAGAGCCTCACGTGAGTAAAATATTGCAGGGCATCGCTGGACTAGGTCCAGCGGCACCTGCAGTACCAAGCCTGCGCTGAACTTGACACGTGGTCCATATCCAGTAACAGCCTGCGTTGAAGCCACAACCCACTTCAGCCTGCCTTCTACAGAATACAGTATCGTTTTCTTTCATAGCGCCCTCGGGCTTGTTGGCTTCTATTTACTCAAACAACTCCCAGTTAATCCCTACTCTTTGGTGGACATAGAGGCTATGATGGTCTGTGCTCAGTTCATTGGAGGGAGATGGGCCTCTGTTAGAGGTCAGAGGTTCTGTGGATGACGGATCTCCGGGCCAGCCACGGCACCTGGGAGACCTTGGGTCCAGCCCAGACCTACTGGGCTAAGAGCCTGGGGCTGCCCGGCAGTCTGCATGTCACCTGGTGAGTCTGAGCTCGATGGAGTTTGAGAATCGCTGGCTTAGGACAGGAGGGGACACAGAAGAGAGGCAGCCAGCTCATCCTGTCAGCTGGAGGGTCTCAGGAAGGCTTCCTGGAGGAGGTGAGGAGGAGGAGGAGCAGCAGAGGTCAGCCAGTCTGGGGATGGAGGACAGGGGGGCCATTCCAGGCACACAGGGTGGCCCGAGCCAGGAACCCACAGTCCGTAAGCAGCTACTCCCAGCGCGAGGTTGGAGGCAGGGAGAAGCCTGGAGGTGAACTTGGAACCAGGGCAGGGGTAAGCCAGGCTGGCTCAGGCGCCTGCCAATGGGCTGGGCTTCCCGTGTGGTTCTGGGGAGTCACTGCAGGGCTCACCCAGCAGAACCACAGACTTGAAAAGTATCCAAGAATATGCAAGTCTATGCCCAGGCATATCTCTGAGGAGTGTCTGCAGGAGTCTTTTTGCCGTTGCCCAGAAAGGGCGAGTAACTTGCCCAGGGTCACACAGTACTTGGGTCTTGGAACTTGGGTCTTCTACTTATTTCCCATCTGTATCTTGTTTCTTCTCACATGTGTTCCCCCAGGTCTACACCCTGCTCCCTGGACTTCCCTCTGCTCTCCACGTCCGACATAGTTTGGGTCACCTACAGGCCTCATCCCAGCCGGATCCAGGAACACAGCCGCCCTGAGGTGTGACATCCCTCTGGGTGTCCCCCAAGGCCAGACCCTACCTGTCCTCTCCCATGTTGCTCCACTGACCCCTGATCCTGTCGATCCAACTTCATTTCTGCCCCCACCTTCCTCTTCCTGGTCATGGTCAAGGACAACGTAGTCTATACAGCACCTCGGAAACTTGACACCCCTTTCTGGAGAGCCTGACTGTCAGCCGATGGACTGTTGCTATATTGAATTTTGTTAAAACAAGATCTTGACTGTCAACTGCTAGAAAACTGTACCAATACCAAGGACATTTCTATGCCTATGAATTGCCTACCTCCTTGATTCGGCACCATACCCTTGCACAGTGTACCACCCGCACAACCGTATTCAGCTATCTGGAGGCCGTTCCACCCCCACCTCTTCCTGAAACACCAAGGACCACTCGAACTTTTAGACACTGAATAATGTTTCAGACACCCTTTCATCACCTCCCAGGAGAGCCGCAAAGGACCCTTGAATAACAAAGTGAAGCTTCCCATAACATAAATCCACATTTATTTAGCATAAATAACTTAGCATAGATCCACATTTCCAGTTTCCTTCCACGAGGTTGGCCACCACGGGGCCTGGCCACTAGTCAGGGCTGCCCCAGGGGAATGAATCAGGAAGCCATGTCCTTGGTGGAACCCGGGCGAGGGAAGCCCTCCCTTGGTGGTGGAGGGGGGTGCCCAGAAGTAATGGATCCCCTCCTTTCCCTGGGAAGCCGTGAACCCCGAGAGGAAACGGGAGCTGGAGTGGGAGAGGAATGCAAAACCCAGGGACCACCGCCCGGGCCAGGAGCCCAGGAGCCCAGGGAGGGAGGGTGCAGATGTGAACTGAGATGGGGGCTGTGGTGGGGGGCCATTGCAGGGACCAGATGCCCAATGGAGAAGCCCGAGGAGAGCCCGGGTCCTGGGACTGTGTGTCCTCTGCCTCCTTGGCAGCTCCTGACAAGGGAGCAGCTGGGGGTCTGGGTGGCGGAGAAGAGGAGGGTCCCCCCTCCTGGCCCTCCTGGCCACCGGCCTTTCGTCCAGGCTGGCCTCTGTGTTCTCAGCAGTCCAGAGGCAGGTGACACCCAGGAAGCGGGGTTCTGTCTTCTGGGGGACACTGATTCCTTGGTACCCAGAAGACCTGAACTTACTAATGATTACTGTCTTCGTTCTGTATTCAGAGCCCAGATGCTTTCAATATCAGTGAAAGGATCAATAAATCCCCTTGCAGATTTGCCTTCACTTTGATTTATTTCCCTGATTTCAAGATAATTAAGAGAATGATTCTCCCATCAATTTCAATGTGGCCAGACAAAATACGGGGCATGGTGTGAAATTCGAATTTCAGATTAACACCAAATGGGTAGTTTTTAGAAGTCTGTCCCTACTGTGACCATCGTGCGTTTATCTGGGACTCAGAATTACCTGGGAACCCTGGACTTTTATTTGCTAAAGCTGGTGACTCTCATTTGTTCCTTTCTCCTTTTTATCTTTTTTTTTTTTTTTATCAACACTGGGTGCAGTGGTGCACACCTGTAGTCCCAGCAGCTCAGGAGGCTGAGGCAGGAGGATCCCGAGTTCAAAGCCAGCCTCAGCAATGGCGAGGCACTGAGCAACTGAGGCCCTGTCTCTAAATAAACTACAAAATAGGGCTGGGATGTGGCTCAGTGGTCGAGTGCCCCTGAGTTCAATCCCTGATGTCCCCCCCAAAATAAATAACACAATGCTCGTGGATCGTGGGTGAACCCCTTGTGCTGTCCTTGGACACCAGGGGTCTTGCTGGTGTCAAGGCCGAGGCCAGGCGCGGTCTTGTCTTCCAAGGCGGCCGAGTGACACCCTGCCCAGCCTGACCCCGCTGCCCTTTGCCCAGCCCGTTGTCCAGGAGTCACCAGGGAGCACCGCCTCTCCGGGCATCTTCTCAGAGACAAGTGTCCTGAGGTCACTCGTCCACCTTCTGAAGGACTCTCAAGGCAGCAGCGTGTCCCATGCACTGGGTGCTCTCATAAAAGTGGCCATGGTGGACGGCGAGGGAGGCCCGTCCTTGTGCATCACCTCCACCAAGTCCACCCCCCTGTATTCCTACTGTCACAAAATCCCCATAACCAGTGGGTCCACGCGCATCCCGAGGACAGGGGTCACACCTTTTTGTGTCTGGTATTCCAGAGTGTCAGCATGGCGCCCGGCACCTCGCAAGTGCTGGGTAACTGTGGGTTGGATCTCATGGATCAGATGGTGGAGGGCACCAAGATGGGTCGTGGGTGGCCGTGTGACCTTGAACCAGTCACTCGCCCACTCTGAGCCTTGGTTTCCTCCTCTGTGAGGTGAGGATTTCAAGGCTGTCTTCTCCCGATCTCTTTAGAGTATAATTGAGCCTTCAAGGGTTTGAAGAGAAGTAGATCCTGTGTCATCCGTCACAGAGGGAAAAGGCGATTCGTTGGCTTTCTATGGAGACCATGTTTTCTGGACAAAAATTTGGGTGCTAAGTGACAGAATTTGGGCACCAGAGTGCAGGACGGATGAGAGATCATGTTGACTCGAGACCAACCTGGATCTCCCCAGACGCACAATGAGCTGCCACTGTGGGAGCCACGGAGTGGCAGAATGTCAGGTCCAACAGGGCACATGTCCTGCCCCTAAGGTCACCAGTCTGGGGCTGCTGGACTAAATCCCGGGTCTCCTGACACCCCAGCCCAGGACCCTTTATTTTTCTGCCTCAGTGAGTTGTCACCCCAAGGACGGGACACCTGGAGAGGATGCAGAGAGAAGCCTGGGGGCGGGGGACAGGTCCCTCGTCCCCACCCCATCATCAAGGACGCAGCAGGAGGACATCTGCCTGGCCTCCATTGGAATAACCCAGATCACACTTCTGTGCCAACTGCTTTATTTAATCAAATAATATAGTACAAAAACGAGGCTCAGATGCCAGCATCGGAGACTCACACCAACCACTCGACAGCCCAAAGACATGGCTCCTGATGAGAAGCTAGATACGGAGGTTCCTGACCTCGGTTCCACCTGGCTCTGCACCGCGGGGCTCCTGAGCGCTGCTGCATAAATAATCCATAAATAGCCCAGCCCACCCCCCACTCCTCAGAAACGACGTAAAAACTAAAAACCTTCCGGACAGAATACATCTGGCTGAACTTCCGGAAACTTTGCCTTAGGTTTGAGGCCAGGCCCCTCCAAGTGCCCAGAGCCCCCCCTACCCTGGGCTTCCTCCCTCCCCTGCCCTCTCAGGCTGGGCCACAGGCCCAACAGGGCTATTTGATCCACCAAGTTTGCTGTCCAAGTTTTAGTGTCCTCTCCCCATGGCCACGTGTCCCAGGCCATGTCCACGGGAGTCAGGTCTCTGTTTGCAGCCCTGTCAGGCCTGCAGGGAGATGTGATGTGAAGCAAATGATCCATGGGACTCAAGCTTTGGATCTGTTCAGTTGTGTAGGATGAGGAGCCTCTAGCACCCCACACTTCATCATTATGCAAATACAAAACAAGCCCCTTACAAGACATTTCACTTCCATCGGCCTAAAAACTGTCATCTTGAATCTATAAATCCGCAGGCTCCGGCTGTGACAGTACCTCCTGGGGTCTGGTCCTCTTGAGCAGTGCACATCTGGGTAAATGTCCATCTCAGTCCAATTCAAAGCCCTTCACTTCCTGGAAATTACTCACATGTAGCTCTAATAAAAATAACATCTCAGCAGCTCAGGAGGCTGAGGCAGGAGGATTACAAGTTTGAGGACAGCCTCAGCAACTAAGTGATGCCCTGAGCAATTTAGCAAGACGTTGTCTCAAATTTTTTTAAAAGGGGGGGAGAGCCATGGATGTGGCTCAGTGGTAAAGCGCACCTGAGTTCAATCCCTGGTACAAAAAAAAAAATCCTCCATGGACACGGTACCATGTAATTTTCAGGACCCTTCACATCCATTTTCTGATTTTTAGCAAACCTCATGAGATGGGAGAGGTACAGGTATCAACTTCATTTTTCTGGTCATAGAATTAATTATAGGACACAGGGTTAGGAGGATTCTGAGCGACCAGGGGTTCATCCATCTATGGACCGCCCCTATCTAGGGCCTGCAGAGCCCTCCTGGGAGGTGGTTGGAAATCCCCAAGAGCATTAAGCTACTGGTGACTGGAGTAAACAATGTGCTACACACAGACGCACATTTGCTTAATGCATGGGGATGTTCTGGTCGGAGATTAAACAAAAACTATTTCCAAAACTAAAACTCATTTAAAACTAATATCTTGGGGCTGGATGCGGTTAGGAGGCTGAGACAGGAGGATCAAGAGTTCAAAGCCAGTCTCAGCAACTTAGCGAGGCCCTAAGCAATTTAGCAAAATCCCATCTCAAAAACAAAGGATCGAGAAAGAGTGGGGATGTGGCTCAGTGGGTTAAGTGCCCCTGGGTTCAATCCCTGGTACCAAAAAAAGAAAAGAAAAGAAAAGGCTAAAACTAATATCTGGGGAAATGTCAATAGACCTCCTTCTTGGTAACTAGAATCCGTGGTGTGCACAGGGCCTTGCCAGGTCGGGGGCAGGTTCGGCAGGCGGAGCCCAGGCCTCCTGACCCCCAGCTCGGGGCTGATTCCCCGACACAGCCCCCGCCTCCAGCTCTGTGGATGAAGGCTCGGTACATTCTCAGACAAGGGTGCATGGTGCACAGTGTCGTCGGCTGCTGTCTCGGGCCTGCTGGTAAAGCATAGATCGGGGCGTCATGGAGCATCTTCAGGGCCTCCAATGAAAGCTGCCAATCAGTTTGTTAGTTGGAGGGCATTTGAGCATAAGGCACAGCTTTCAATCTGGACTTTGACACTCAGGACTTGGCATGTTCTGGGAAGAGAAGAAGGACAGAAGTTTTAGCCATACCTCAATGTTGTGTCGGCCCCTCTCTGCAAACAGTAGACCACCTGCTGCCACCAACACCAGCAAGAGCTCCACCTCTGGGTCCTCCATCCTGTAGCCCCTCCTGCCTAAGCCTCCTGTCTCCTGCCTCCAGAGCTGACCTATCCTCCTTCTCACTACAGCCTCCCCAGCCCAGGACCAACTGGCTTCATTGACACTCTGGCTTCTGATTGCTACTTAATGTCGTCATCAGTCAACATTCTTTTCCACGAGCACGTGAAGCCCTTGAAGGCAGAACCTTCCCGAGCACCTCGCAGCACTTAGCACAGTGAAGCACACAGGTCCCTGTCAATATCTGCTGATTGAGTTTAATACTTGCTGGTTGGATGAAGGATGGATGAATGAACAGTGAGTGAAACCAGAGGACGGGTTTAGGGCGACTGAGCCCATCTTCCCACAGTATCTTTGACAAAGAACTGAGATCATCTGTATGAGCCATTCCCTAGCCCACCCTAGAGAGCAAATTCTCCAGAACATCCCACTCTCCAGAGAAGACAGTGAGGCTGAGAAGAGAGGTCTAAAGTCACAAGGAGTCCCCCACAGGAAAGTCAGCCACGTGGAGCAGAGCGTTGGCAAGATGCAGCTGTCACGCAGCAGGACTGGCTCTCTACAGGGCCCTCCCAGGGGCTTCTAAAGGCAACCCCAGGAGAGGATGGCCGATGACAGATGCATTTTGAGTGATGGTGACATCACTGCAAAAAGGACTGCTTGCCCAGGGGACCTCCAGCTAGCAGTTCTGGGCCGGTTTGTCCAAGACCAACAAAGACCACATCTGCTTTATCCAAAATCACACCTCGCTCAGTAGCTTCTACCATCACTCAGTCTGGGTGGAGTGACGGTAAGCGGGCGATCTGAAGGACCTTGGAAAAGGGGACGGGAGACCTGCTGATCGGAGGCCACCAGAGGGTGAAGCCACTCTTCCCTCAAACACCTGCACTCCTGAGCCCTGAGCAGCCCTCAGAGCCTTCTGGTCTACCTCGGGCGCCCTTATCTGAAATTGAACCTCCCTTTTTGTTATATAAATTTTATAACCCTAGAACTGGGAAGCCAAGAGCAGAACCTATGAAATAATAAGACCAGCTAAGGGAGCAGACGTCATTAATTAAAACATGTGCAAAGGTACCTACAGTTGGCGCCCAGTGCTGAATAAAGACCATACTAATCATGGAGCAAAATCAGTGATTTTTTTTTGGCGGGGGGTCGTGTTTTAGAACTGCCTCCGTGAGGAGGTGACAGTGGAATTGAATCCTGCAAGTTCCGAACAGAGTACACAAGGGAGAAGAGAGCAGGCAGATCCCACCCGAGGCCCACGCCCTGTCGTCCCTTGTCCTATTTGTCACTGTCTCCCCGCCCTCTCTCACCGGCTGGGCCTCCCTGGACGGGAACTGGGTGAAGTTGTGCTGGACGCAGTGGCCCCGGGAGCCCATGAGGCTGCAGATGGTGCGGCTGTGGCTGCCAGCGAATTTGTGGACCAAGCCAAAGGCATATGGGGAGGGTCTCTGGGCGAGGCTCCTGGCCCCACCGGGCGAGTGAGTCTTCCGTCTGCGCAGGGTGGCCACCAGCTTCCTGAGGGTGGAGTCCGAGAACTCGTAAAAAAAACTCTTAAAGCTGGGGTGCCGCCCAATCTGGAAGCAGAAATGAAATCAGGCCATTAGTGCTGCCCGCAGAGACCGTCCCCAGCCCCCGTAGCCGGGTTGGGCCCCTCAGTTAAGTTCCCCCGCCTCCCCTGCTGCCCCACATCCAGACCTGTCCACAGGTCTCTGGACACAGAATTGACCCTGATGAGTTGTGACCTCCTGAGCCAGTGGGGTCATCTGTAAAGTGAGAGTAATATCCCTGACCCCCAGGATCCGTGGAGGATGGAGACCTTGTCTGTAAAATGTCTAGTGCAGGGATGTCAGGGGAGTCCCAGCACCACCCCACGGCTCCTCCAGCCAGTTACTTCTTCACGCTGATATACGGGAGCTGGGGTTCCCCCCAAGCTGACCACAGTCAAGGACTTGGGTACAGAGAGCTGATTTGTTAGGTGATCCCAGGAGACACTGATGGGGAATGAGACCTGGGACGGGGTGGGACTGTGCAGAAGAGGAGGTCCCAGGGGACGGAGGGACATGGGCACAAGGAGGCCTGCAGGGTGGTGGGACGTGGGCTGAAGATCTGAACTAGGAAGGTCTTAGCTGGTGGGGGAGGAGCCACTGAGCATTGTGATATTTTAAACAGACACTGCCTCACCTCCTGCATTCTGGCATGTTCTATGTGGGCATTAAACTTGGTCAAGTAGATAATTATCCCCCATTTTACAAAAGAGGACACTGAGGCTCAGAGAGGTAATCAGACACGTCTAAGACCACCCAGAGATGGGGACTGAACCCAGGTCTCAGAGAGACCTGGGGAGGGCTGAGGGGTGCTCACCTGGTCCCCCAGCTCGCCATCCACTTCCTGGAGCAGCTCCACTAGGGTGCAGATGATGCCCTCCTCTAGCGAAAGGAAGGGAGGGTGAGGAACTGCATGTGGGCTGACACCCCGGTCCCCACAATCAAACACTGCAGCAACCGTCCCCCAATATAAATAGTACATTATCTTAAAACGTGGCGCACAGATGAGTTATGACAGGCAAAGAAAATCTTTCCTTAAACCAGCACTGGCGGGTGGGAGCTTTATTTGGGCTTGCTCCAGAGAAATAGAAGGGCCTCTGACCTGTGCTGCCTCCCCTATCACCACATCCAGCTCCATTTGACAGATGGGAAAACCGAGGCCTCCCAATGTCAGGAATGGAAGCTTGGACTAAAAGCAGCTAATCAGCAGGGCACAGAGACACATGCCTGTAGTCCCAGCAGCTCAGGGGGCCGGAGGATTGCAAGTTCAAGGGCAGCCTCAGCAACTGAGCAGGGCCCTAAGCAACTCAGAGAGACACTGTCTTAAATTTTAAAAAATAAAATAAAATTTTAAGAGCTGGGGATGTGGCTCAATAGTTAAGTGTCCCTGGGTTCAATCCCTGGTGCCAAAAACAAATAAATAAATAAAGATAAAAGCAGCTGATCAGAATGCAAGCAGGGGACACACCATGGTTGCTGTGGCAGCAGGAACGCTCCCACCCCCACCCCCGGTTAGTGGCGTGGTGGCCTGGGCGCCTCACACGGAGGTCACTGTAACTGTGCAGAAACTGATGGAGCAGTCACTGCAAACTGTTGGTAGCTGGAAATCGGCCAGGGGGATTATTGATACAACCCAAATCTACAAAGGCCACAAATCGGGGCTCCCCTGGCTCCCCGTGGAGAGCCTGATTGCCAGGACATCACCCCCGGAGACCAGGGCAAGCGAGGATTTCACGTGACCACGTGAAGAGGTCAAGTTCCAGCTGGCAGAACAGCCGGGTCTCTCGACCTGAGCCCTGCCCTTGCCCTGCTCCGGGGTCTCCTGGGGCGGTTCCCAGCTGCCCCTCTGCTCCCTCCTGGGAACTGCTCCCCATTCAGCCTGTGAGTCCATGCAGAGGAGAAGCACCCAGGAAGCCGGCCCAGCGGAGAGCAGGTGGCACTAACTAGATTCACACGTGTCCTCCGGCAGGGCTCCTCCTTCTGGTGTGTGGCTTCTGGTCTGGGAGGATGCTGCTGGGAACCCTTCGGCAGCCAAAGGCTCCTGGAACTCAGAATGTTCTGGATCTGAGGGCGAAAGAATCGGGGTGAGTGTTTTGCACCCAAATCAGACTCCCCCATAGAGTGGCATCTAGGCCCACCAGAAGCTATGGTCATTGGGCCCTGCTTCCCAGGTCCTCGGGAAGTCCCCTGACCACCCCGCCCTGCGAGGAGGAGTTCACAGAGCTCCCTTTGCTCTCTCCAGAGAACTAACTCCTTCCACACACCAAGCCCTCGGCTTCCCCACCGTCTGGAATGAAGCCATTGAGGAAAGAAGCCCGGGAAAGAAGCCGGGGTTTCTGTCCAAACTGCACTTTCTCCATCTGTCAAATGGGGGTCCTAAGCCGGACCCCCCTGGGCTGAGAGCAGGTTACATGAGTTATGCATGACAGTGGCATACAGTAGGCACTCCATAAATGCCAAGGAACCCCTGTCTACCTGCCAGTGGTCCTCACTCCTCTCCACCCCACACCCCTCCTCTGCCCAGAGCAGAGAGCAGAAGGCAAGACGGCCGTGGCCACACAGAGGCCACCCCCTGCCCTCCAGGGAGCCTTTGTTACTATGGCAACGCCAGGCCTGCTCACCCGAGCTGCTGGAGATGGAGGACCGGTGGCCACCCACACACAAGGGCAGGTAGCTGGGCCTCTTGGGTGTCCCGGCCTCTGGGACGGTCCCTGCCCTCCTGGGCTCCTTGGAGCTGTGCTTCTTGTGGGAAAAGGCTCTCCGGAGGCTGGACTTCTTCTCCTGGGATTTCTTCCTGCAGACTGGGGCCGGGTTCTCCACAGCCACCTCCACCTCCTGCACTTGGGGTTGCTGTGGGGGGGGTGAGGGAAAGTGAGTGGGCCTTGACCTTGAGGAGACTGCAGGTGAGCTGGGGAAGAGACCCTCGGGCTGGAGAGGGGGACCCTGAGAAGAGCAGTGAGGGTGGTCTGGAGTGGGTAGGGGGCTGAAAGGAGCTGGAGGGGCAGCTTGGGGTCCTCACCTGCTCTCCCTCCTGCTCCTCGGCATCTTGGAGTAGGGCAAGGATCTTCTGGAAGAATTTGTCTAAAAAAAAAAAAAAGACCAAAGTGCTCAGAGAAGTCTTCTGAGCTCAGCCTCCATGTCGCCCAACACCAAGGCTCCCCGGGTGACCTCTTCACACCCCAGCCCCTCGGGGTGCTCATGAGCTCCTCAGAAGGCAGAGCTGGCTTCCTGGGGACAAGTTCCCTTCTCCTTCACCAACCAGGTGCCTCTCAAGAAGGCACCTGGGCCTGCTCCCCACACCCCTCACCCTGCACCCCCTCATTCGGAAGAGCCCAGCCTTCCCAATTCCCTTCCGGGCAGGATGGAAGCAAAAGCAGAGATCCTAAAGGTATTTTCAGCATCTTCAGCTGCTCAGAACGGACCATGATACAAGCCCAGGCCTGGCTGCCAACAGTAAAGTCACAACAGCCCCCCTCCCGCCCCACCCACTCCCTATCCTTTCTGTTCCCAAGCTGGCCCACCTAGTAACACTGGACCCCACTGACATGAACTGGCTGTGAGCAGGGGCTGCCTTGAAGGCCTCGTAGGCCTGAATTCATTTAGAACTTCTAGAAACCCCAGGAAGAAGATTCTGTGATCAGCCCATCTCACAGGTGAGAAAACTGAGTCAGAGATGAAGCAATCTATCCACTTCATAGAACTAGAAGGGGTCAGAACTCAGGTTGAAAGTGGGGCCTAGAGCTCACACCATCTGTGGAGCCCTTGCCAAGGACAGCGCTTTCCTCCACCGCCCACTGGCTGCCTCGGCCACATGCGTGTCCTCACTGCAGCTGTGGATGGTTGGGATGCTTAAGAGAGCACGGAACAGGAGCCTGGTCCAGGCCTGGGCCCTGGGCCCTGAGGCGGCTCTCATGGGAAGTCTGGACAGGCCACTGCCTCTCTCTGCCTCAGTTTCTCTTCTGCAAGTGAAAGAGTCAGACCAGCATTTTCCCAAGGGTCTCTGAGGAAAGGGGCAGGATACTGACTGGACTCTGAGGCCCCGTCCAGCGGCAGCTCCTCTACGGGTCCCTGGCATCTGGCGTGGGTGGGCGGTTCAGAGGGGCTTGGGCCCTCCCCATCTGCAGACAGGGCCTCGTGGACCTCGGGTCCTTCCAAGCCTGGGAAGCAGAACGGAATGGTCTCAGGGATCGGAGAGGCCAGGACCTGGCCCTGACTCTGAGGTGGTACCTTGGTAGCTGGCCCTGAGGCCCTGCTGCCACTCAGGTGAGCTGGGCGCTGGGCTGTGTCCCAGGGTTACTGGCCCAGACCAAGCTCCAAGCCTTTGTGCCTTCAGAGAGCCGGCCTTCCTGGTTTGGGGGCCCCGCCTCCCTCCCTGGGCTCCACCCCTCCACCATGTTCACTTGATCCCCAGAGAGAAGGGGCCTAATTCTATGGCATGAATCAAGGATCACAGTCAGAATCACTGAGCCTGAAGCTCCCTCCCCCGGGGCCGGGCACCCACCTCTGGACCACTCCTTGGTGTTGAGTACCACCCGTTCCTCTCTGGGCAGTAGTCCCCCTGGTCCAGCACCCCCTATGAGGCTGGTCCTCTCCAACCCCCAGGAAGGACCAATCTGGCTGATCCTTTCTCCTGCTAGCTCTGTGCTAATGAGTCAGGTGACCTTGAACATGACCTTGCCTCCCTATGCCCCATTCTGTCATCTGTAAGATGGGGACCATAACCTCAATTCCTAAGATGGCTGTGAGGACAGAGACATGGGAGGACAAGGAAAGCACCTCTCAGGCGCCCTGCATCCCTGCTCCATCTCCTTCCTGAACATCCTGTGCGCCCCCCACCCCACCCCCCAGCAGGAGGAGGCGGAGGCTGTGAGACGTGAATGGCGGCCTGCTGGGGTCCCCCCTGTCCTCTGCAGCCCGTCCCACACAGCTCAGGACAGACCGTGGCCCTCTAGCAGCCAATCCCAGCCCTGGGAAGGTTCCAGAGCTGGAGGCAGCTGCAGTGTTGCTATGGCAACTGCCAGAGTTGCTCACCAGGGCTGCTGGAGATGGAGGACCGGTGGCTACCGACACACATGGGCAGAAAGCTGGACTTCTTGGGTGGCCGGGCCTCTGCACTGGGGACATCGGCAGCCCCTGCTCTCCTGGACTCCTCGGGGCCGGGGCCGTACTTCTTAAGGGAAAAGGCTCTCTTGAGGCTGGCCTTTCTCTCCTGGGACTTCCTCTTGCAGACCGGGGAGGGGTTTTGAAGAGCCACCTCTAGCCGAGGGACTTGAAGTTGCTGCTGGAAAGAAAACAGAAACTGAGTCAGGTCCCTAAGTACCAAGAGAGGGAGAGCTTCCCGGGAAAACTGGGGAGCAGCCAAGCACTTAGGGGGCTGGGGGAAGCGCTGAGCCGGAGAAGCAGATGGAGGCTTCAGACAGCGCAAGGGCAGGCGGGAAGGACAGGTGGGGCTGGAACCAGGAGAGGCAGCAGCGTCCTGGGCTGTGCACAGATGCTCGCCCCTCACCTCCTCCTCCCACTGGTCTCCCACTTTTTTGAGCAATTCCACGATCCTCTGGATGACAGCATCTTCTGGAAGAGAGCACATGCCCTGTCACCTTCTCCAAATGCACAGAGAGCACTTTCCACGACCCTCTTGGACATGAGACCAGCTCGGGCCTTGTGGATCAGGGGAGGGGCCTCTCAAAACAGCTCCTCGGGTTGGAAGGGGGAAAGCACCACATTCCAGGAGCTGTCCTGAGAGAGAGTGGGAGGATCCCCAAGGGAAGGATTCTGTCCCAAAGCATGATATTATATGCAGGAAATGTCAGCCTTCCAGGCCTTCCACTTGTGCCCTACTAACAAATCTGTGAACATCTACTTTGAGTTCAGCGAGCTGTGTGACCTTGGCTAAGTCTCTTACCCTCCCTGGGCCTTCTTCTCTTTCCTTGTGTCAGGTTGACATCATCCCTGTTCTGCCTCCATTAGAGGCCATCCAATGAGGGGCAGGGCTTGGAAACACTTTGCAAGCCTAATACTGACCTTCCTCCACCCTGCAAAATTCAAGTGGGGAAAATGATAATTCCCTATTCTAACCAAGGAGAAGGAGAGAAGGACATCAGGATGTGTGGCACAGACCTATGGATGCCTCCACTATATCTCAGCCCCCATTTTCTTTCTTTCTTTTTTGGTACCAGGGATGGAACCTAGGGGCACTTAACCACTGAGCCTCATCCCCAGCCTTTTTATGTCATTTTTTATTTTGAGCCAGGGTCTCAGTGAATTGCTGAGGGTGGTCTTGAACTTGCAATCCTCCTGCCTCAGCCTCCAGAGCCGCTAGGATTGCAGGTATGCGTGTGCCACTGTGTCCAGGTCTCGGCCCAAGGCCCAAATCATTAAGGAGGAGGCAAAAACGATGGAAATTATTTCCTTTGTTGGACTTGTTCAAGGGCAGTGTGCCCAGACGGTCCTCTGCTGGCTGCCAGCCGAGGGGTTTATACAGGAGATGGAAACAGGTCCCCCTGGGCCACCTGCGGATTTCTCTCACCCCTCAGTCACTTCCCTCTCACTCATGAATCCCATTTGGCTTCTAGTTCATTTCCTCAATCAATCAGCTGATTCCCTCTAGGGTGAGAAAATAATTCGCTGTGAAATAACTAAATACCCTACACAATAACTAGCTCGGTGTCTACTAGCTATTCTTTGACAGATGACACTTGGGTGACTGTTCCTGTGCCTTTCTTAATCCACTTGAGAAAACAGCACAGATTTGGCTCCATTTTCTAGCTTTTTAAAATATGGCCATTTTTAACAGGGAATTAGATGAACAAGGGGTCATTTTTGATTTATAAGAAGCAATAATGATATTGTAGGTGCCTAGGACGCCACCTTCATTTCTTAACGGTGCGGGTTTAAGTCTTTAGAGATGAAGGATCATTTTGTTCTCAAATGGTTCCACAACAAAATTACACATACCTACACCTCCGAAGCCCACAGCCAGACAACTGTGGGAATACAAGCGTGCATTGACACATATTCCTACCACGCTTCAATATATTTTTATTTTCTTTATTTATTTCTCTGTTTAGTTCATTTTTATTTTTGTGTGAGGTGCTGGGAACTGAACCCAGGGCCCCTTGCATGCAGGGCGAGGTCTCTGCCATCCAGCTGCACCCCCCGGGTCCCTACGGTTCTACGTATTTTTAAAATAAAATAAACTTTGAGAGACTAAAAACAAAGTCCCACTCTCGTTAACACATAAGGCAGGAGCTTCTGCCAACAGCCTTTCCAAATCCCCAGACTCCCTTCTGTGAGACTCTTAAAATAAGCCAATGTGGCTAGAAGCCGCAGAAGAGGCAAAAGAAATCAGCCACCGAGATCCAAGGTCTCAGTGACCACGCAGAGCCTTCCACCTCACTGGGTGACAGCCCCTCCCCCAAGACCGAAAGGACACTATTGATGGACTCACGGTCGGGCTTCCTGAGGTGCTCTTCTGGCTGGGCACCCGCGGCTTGGGGAGAAACGCCTGAGAAGCCGGCACCACCCACTTCGATGGGCAAGGACGGGTGCAGAAAGGAATCGTGTCCGTGTCCTCCTGGAATAGAGATGAAAGCCGGTGGGCGTGAGCGTGGGAGTGGACACGTGGGTGACGTTCCTGTGACTTTCTGAATCCATCTGAGAAAACAGCGCAGAATTGGCTGCACATGAGGCCCTGTGGCTGCCATCTGGGAGCTGAACCCAAGACTCTGAAATCTGCCAAGAGGCCACCTCCACCCAGGCGTCCCTCTCAATTGTCCCCCCCTGATCTGGGATCTCCCTGGAGGCTCTTCTCCCCATTAAAAAAAAAAAAAAAAGGCAAAGCACCATTTCCCTCCAGGTATGGGTGACATTCAACCCCCGCGTCCTAGGAGTCGGGCTGGGAAGTCACCTCAGAGCCCAGAGCTCTGATGGCACACAAGAGGAAGAAAAGGCTCTGGAGGGGACGGCCACCGGCTCAAGCCCATCCAAGAACCAAAGTCTAGAAGGAGCACCCTGGTGGCCAGATAGGGACGGGGGGGGGGGGGGGGGGGAGGACACGCTCCCCGCCCCCACCTCCCCATTTGTCCTCATCTGTGATCCTCAAACTCAACAGTGCTTCACAATGACTCCGCTCACTAGCACTTTTGTGGGGGCCACAACTAGTATATTTTACCTCCATTTTGTGAATTAAAAACAAAAAAGGGAGGCTCAGAGGGGAGAGTCACCAGCCCAGGCCACCCGGTGGGGGAACACAAGTCCCTCCAGGGATGTGACCTCAGGCCCTCGGCCACAGCGCTGAGAGCCCCCTGGAGTGGAGCAGGGGTCACTAAGAAGAGGCGGTCCGCTCACCCCTGCCAGCTGGGCCCGGGTCAGCCTCCTCCGTGGAGGCAGCCTCTGTCCTGGGCAGCCCTGCCTCCGGGTCCTCAGCATCGTGCTTCCTGTGACTGTGTCTCTTGCGACTGGCTTTCTTGTCGCGGGCTCTGGTCCTGAGGGCCGGCTCTCCTGGGCCGTCCGGGGGTTCTGAGGGCTCCTCCTTCCCCTTGGGCCTCTTGCTGGCCTTTTCTCTGGGCTCCTCTGGGCCTGTCCTCAGGAAGAAGTTCAGCACGGCCTTCAGCCACCCCTGCTGGGCCCGCCTCTGGGCCTTGTGCTTCTTGGCGTCTTGCTGGGGCCTCTGCTCACTGGGCAGAAGGCCCCTCATCCCCTCCAGGGTGAGGGCTGTGGTGACGGTGCCCTGGGCCTCTGCAGACTGAGCTGGGATCCCGGAGTGTCTGGCCCCGTCGCTGGACGTGCGGCGAAGGGGCCTCCGGCAGGGAGCGGTGGAAAAGGAGAGGCACTGGCAGTTCCCCGACCCAGAGTCCTTCCTGGGCGCCTGAGGCCTGTCCAGAGACTGGGCTCTCCTGCAGGCCAAGGGCTTCTGTGGTCCCCCTGGGGTCTCCATCGGGCTACAACCAAAACAAACAGTCCCCTTAGGAAAGGCCAGAGGGAGATGGCGAGGTTGGCTAGCAGTGCTGAAGACCCCGCAACCTGCCGCTCCTGTGGCCCGTGTCAGCCCCTCCAGGTGACACTTGCCCGAAGCTGCTGTCCTGTTTAAAGTCCTCAACAACCTCGAGGAGGAAGACACAACCAGACCTCACGGCTGGTCAGGGGCACCTGGAGGGCCTCCCCGGAGGATAGGGCCCCACCCTCGCCTTCATTCAGTCCCCTGACTTTGGACCCCGGATTTGGACTCTGCAGACAATCCGGGTTGTCCCAAAGCCACTGGGTGAGTGGAATTTTGTTACAGCAGCAACAGGGAACAAATGCCACTGGAGTCCGGCCAAGTCCGGCTGCTTAGGCAGCTCACGTGTGCCCCGTGCCACGGCTGACTCAGGTCCTCATCTGAAACATGCCCCAGACTTGCCGCCTGCTGTCAGGATTATCTCAGCTCAGTCAATGGTTATCTCTGTGCTTCCAACTGCTCAGGCCCAAAATGTGAAATTGTCCCTGACTGCGCGCTCTCCCTCTCTCTCTCTCTCTCTCTCTCTCTCTCTCTCTCTCTCTCTCATTCCCACATTGGGCCCATCAGCAAAGCCTGTAGGCCTCACTTTCAAAGCACATCTGTCCAGCCCCCCCATCTGTGCTGACCTGGAAGGTAGTCTCCACCTCTGGACTGTCCTCTCAGCCACTTGCCCTCTGCAGCCAACGGGGCTTTAGAAACATGTCCGAACATGTCCCTCCCCTGCCCCCAAGGGGCCTCCTTCCACCCTGGGACAAAGCAGCTGCCACTGGAAAGATGAGAGACCCCTCTTCCTGGAAGCACCCTGGGCAGGTGGGCTGAGCCCACTGCACTCCATTTAGGTGTCTTTAATATGAAATTCCTGGGGCTTCCCAATTTTTCCAAAGTTGTCCTTTGGTGAAGTAAAAAGAAAAATAAAATATGGTTCTGAGTCCCAAACCTGAGCTTCCAGGGATGCCCGTGGAGTTAGGTCCCCAGGTTGCCTCCTCTGCTTTGGGACTGTGGCTTTACCACGGACTAAGGACTATTTAGCAGCGTGGGATAGAAATCGTGCATTTATGCCACATCCCCTGCCTTGACCAACCGATTCATTTACTCTAAAATGCCTTCTATGTACGAGTCCAGCAAGCACAGGAGCAAAAAATAGGCTTCTACAATTGCGAGTTCATCTGCGCAGGATCCAGGGGAATGTGAGGAGGGCACAAAGGGTAGGAAAGAACCAGGGAAGCACAGGGAGCCTGGAAGGTGACAGTGACATTCAGGGTGGCTTCCCTCCTTCCAGCCCCGGTCTGGGGAGCAAGGACTGGACGTTGCTGCAGCCCCAGACTGCCGCAGTCAGAGGCCACTGGGTGTCCCCACTGGGTGTCCCAACATTGCTGGCCGTAAAAAGTGGGTGATAATTCCAGTGTCTGGGGAGGCTGAGACAGGAGGATCGCAAGTTCAAAGCCAACTTCAGCAAAAGTGAGGCGCTAAGCAACTCAGTGAGACCCTGTCTCTAAATAAACTACAAAATAGGGCTGGGATGTGGCTCAGTGGTCAGGTGCCCCTGAATTCAATCCCTGGTACCTGCCCATTCTCCCAAAAAAAGTGGTTTACCTTGGAGAAAATGAGAACTCGGGCCAGGGATGAGGCAGGCAATTTGGAAGGCTGTGTTTGTTGTTTAATGTTCCTTAAAAGGAATATCTGGGGGCAGGAGTTGTGGCTCAGTGGTAAAGCACTTGCCTCACATGTGTGAGGCACTGGGTTCGATTCTCAGCACCGCATATAAATAAATAAATAAAATAAAGGTCTCTCAACAACTAAAAAAAATTTTTTTTTTTTTTTTTAAAAAAAGGAGCATCTGGGCTCCATGCGAGACTTTAGAGACACAGGCCTCTGCTTACATGGAAATTGACTAATGTTCTTGAACACCTTAGAGGCTGGCTTCCTTCTATTCTTCCATCATACAGTTCAGGTGGGATAAGGAGAGGAAAATATTTGTCTTTGTTCCCATTTATTTCTTTCAGCAAACATGTCCTGGGCACCCACAATGCACTGGGAATTTGCTTGGAGCTAGGGATACAATCCTGGTCAGGGTGCAGCATAAGGCCTCAAAGAGAATGTTCTGGTCTTCCCGTAGGTGGTACTGGGGAGATAAGCACTGCAGAAGGCCATGCTCTGTCCCCTCCTGTCCTCCTCTTTGGTAACACATGGTCTTAAAAGAAAGTAAATTTCGTTTGAAGGGCCATTTGATTTTAAGTTCAAATAAGCTGAAGGGAGGAATATTTACTAAACAGTGTCAGGTTCTCTCGGCTTTTTCTGCATGTTCCTATGATCAGGGCAAATTGCACAGGGTTGGCCGAGGAGCTGTTCAATGAGATTATAAAACCAGCCAAACACACAAGACGTCCGTGCTCGGCTCAGCCCTTCTTTTCCCTGCGCTAACTTGGCTCAAGGGGGCCCATCCCACAGGGGCTAGAGCATCCTTACCCCGCTAAGGGGAGGAGAGGCGCAGCGCTCTTTGAAGAGGCTGTCATCACCATGGAGACGTTTTCCACCATTGCTGGTGAGGGCAGAATCCTCCCACCTCCTTCAGAGCACATGATGCTGCTTCTAATCTGAGCATCAGTAAAATTCCACCCGCAAACGGTTTTCCTTCTTGATGTTTTTTCAAGAAAACCGCCTTAATTCAGCTACTGCTCCCTAATGTCCTAAACTCAGAGGGAGGTGAGAGAAGATGAAGAGAGAGCCGAGCAGGAGCTGCTGCAACCCCAGACGCAGGGGGATCAGCCGCAGCCTGAGCTATGCAAGTTCCCTGGTGATGAGGTGTCCCAGGATCTCCCAAGGCCTCCTCCATCCAGACCCAGACTCCTTCCCCTTCCTCAGCCTCCCTCAAGGGGGGGGGGGTTCACATCCACTTCCTTCTCCCCAGGTGACCGTGACCAAGCTCAGCGCAGGTCTCCCTTGCCTCTCTAACTGCTCCTCCTCTGAGACCTCTCTTCTGTGTCCAAGGGGCTCATGTTCGGCCTGACGGTGGGGGAGGGCCACCCTGGCCCAGACCTGTAACCCCGAGACAGCAGCACACCCTCCTCGTGTGGAAACCCGGCTGCCTTGTAAACATGTTTATTGCCTTGGCAGGGAGTGGATTTCAGAGCAAAGTCCAAATCAGCTCAGAAATACCCGAGTGATCCGCAGATCACAGGACTCCTAAGACATGACATCACACCAGTGACACGTTCAACAACAACAACAACAGACCAAAAGAGAAACGGCCGACCTGCAGCAGGAAGTTCACCTATTTTTCTTTCTTTTTTTTTTCCCAAACACACAGCTTGGTTTCGTTGATTTTCTATCTTAAGCGCTGACCTCATCCACACACTGTTGGCTGCTGCAGCGACGGCCCGGCCGCTCTAGAACAACTGAAAGTCATTTTGTCACTCTCCCTCCACCCTGTCCTTTGACACAAAGACATGGGCAGCAGCCGACCTGCCACACACCCACACAGCTGCTCCAGAGGACTGCGTGCGGCACACACGTGTGGGCCAGAGTCTACCCTCCACACATGTGCATGGACTCAGAGCATCTCGGATTTTCTCTGCCCCAATGTGATGGAATAATCACAGGACCAAGCTTGCCATCTGTCACCACCAGAGAGGCCCCACGCCAGCCGGGTTCCCTGCTGTGTCCCCGGGCTGGGGAGGCCCCCACGTTTATAGAATGAATAAACCGCGCACAGACGTGTGCAAACAAACCAGCTCTGCCCAGGAGCCCTTTCAGCTCCGTTTTCTCATTTAATCTGTCAATATTGTGACAATGGCTGGCTGCAGTGGGAAACTGAGGCCCCGAGTGACGGAGATGTGCCCAAGACCATAGCTGGAAGCAGAGAGCTGGGACTCAAGTGCAGTTCTCCCAATTCTAAGTCCCATCTTAGTCCCTTGTACACCAAGGGGCCTCCTGTGTGCACACACACACACCCTTGTGCACACACACATACCCTTGTGCACACACAGACTTAATGGGAGCAAATCTTCTATTTCATGGAGAACCACATCCTCACATGTGTCCTGTGGAACCTGTGCACACAGTCACCTGTCCACATGTGCCCAGGGCCAGACACCTGCACCCCAAAGAAAAAGACTCTGGGCCCAGGGGAGCCTCACAAAGCCCCGGCAGACACCCGGCACTCACGGGCTCCTCCTCAGGGCCACAAGCCGCCCTCACTGTTTGTGCTCAGAACCCCCAGAGTGACAGCAGGGCTGGTCCAAGCACAAAGCCTTCAACCTGGGCTCCTCCAAGGGGTCCCCTGGAAGCCACCCCATGGCAGACCTGGATGGTGGCAGGCCGTCATCTCTTCCCTCCACGCCTGCCTCCCAGGTGTTAGATGATGACAACTGAGGAGACCCCCCTCTCTTTTGTGGGCCCCTCATAGGCTCCCAGAGTTGAAAGGGACCTGTGCAGCATCCAGCCCACTACCCATACGGCGGCAGGTGTACTCCATGCCACATTCTTGGAGCCCTTCCTGCCCTGGGACCTGCGGCCCTTCCAGACAGAGCTGCCCACAGCGGCCCACCTGGTTTCAAGGTACATTCCCCTTAGGCTGTCGGTGGTGGCTGACTCCCTGGAGTCCTCTGTGCCAACCCATCAACCTGATGGCCCCATCTCTTGGTGAGTCCTTAATCGTTACCAGGCCCCTCAGGCATCTGCATTCCCTTTCCTAGAGACTTCCAGCTTGTCTCTGTCCACTGAAGCACCTGGGGCCCCGGCACAGGTGGATGGAGGCTCACGCCATCACCCAGCCTCGGCAGGACCAGTGGGACCTGCAGACGGCACCTCCCTGCGCACAGCCTCAGGGTGCAGGAGGCCTCAGAGCAGCCCCGGGGCACTGTCCGGGGGAGGGGTTGTCACCACCAAACACACTCATCACGCAGTGCTTGTTTTCCAAAATATTTCCATCTCTTCAGGACCCTGTGATGCTCCAG